GGTTTATATTTACATGCCAAGTATTAGACTGTGTAGTTTCATGAGGTCAAACATACCTGGAAGAACTTCTCCACATGCTCAAAGGGGGAATCGTCTCGCACACTGGGTAAAGTATACCTGCCCATCATGTCATAGATGGACGTTATTATTGCCAACATTTCCTGCATCAGTAAAGACACCACACGGACACAGAGCACATCTTTAGAACTCATTACACTGCAACACGTTTATTATCTCCTCAGAACTGCTCGTACCTCTTTCGTGATGTAGCCGTCCTTGTTGATGTCATACAGGTTAAACGCCCATCGCAGTTTTTCTGTCACCGAGCCTCGAAGCAGCACGGACAATCCTATCACAAAGTCCTGTAAAAGCAATTCAAGGTTTATATTTAGGCTTCCTTTAAACAAAATCATTAATGTTAGTGAGTGGTGCGCTCACCTCAAACCGGATGGAGCCGTTTCTGTCCATGTCGAAGGCGTTGAACAGGAAATGAGCGTACGTGGTTGCATCTGGAAGCAAATCGTTTGGTGTTAGTCAGAGAAATTAGGAACATCATCTTTCTGTTACAAAGAAATAAACATCTGGCAGATATAAACAGCACCTTTAAGACATCAGCTCACTGTTCCCATGTGTTTAAAGGTCAATCAGATTTCCACTACATGATCATTGTGGCCAAAAGAACAACAATATTCTCATAATGCTTGTAGAAAATCTGACAAAAAAGAGAAATAATGTCCATCCATCCATCATCTATACACCGCTTAGTCCTCAGTAGGGTCGTGGGGGGCTGGAGTCTATCCCAGCTGACTCAGGGTGAAGGCAGGGGACACCTGGACAGGTAACCAACAAAAAAAGTCACACATGTCCTACAAAACTCCTACAAAAAGCTTTGTGGTGTCACATGGAGGCTGCAGAAGTTTCCCAGAGCAGTGAAAGTGATGCTTGGCCACTTCCTGACCTGTGACTACAAGTAACTCTCCCTCGATAGACTGACGGGAAATTATATGATTCCTCCAAAACGTCTTGATCTTTGTTTGTCGTTGCCCATTTTTAAAAATTTTTGGTGAATGCATTATATCTCATAGTCTGTAACCAGAACTGTCCTGTGTGTCGTTTCTGTGTCAGCCACATATTTACCTGTGCTGGATTATTTATGATATCTTCACATGTGTATTATTCATCCCATATCAATTTTTCATTTCCGTATCTGACTGTTCATATTAAGGAGTAACATCCTTTACCTCCTTGAGGGAAGAACTGTGAGTAAATGGTCTTGAATGTTTCTTCATCCACGAGTCCACTGGGACATTCCTGTTGGAAAGTAGACAACAAGAAGAAAAAAACATCACAATAAACACTAATTATTGTAGTTGATGCTTTGTCATCACAACAAAATAGTTTATCGTTGAATTATTTGCCTCAGTCATAAACACATGCAGAGATTTTCAACTTGTAAATTAGAGAGAACATTGCAAACATTTCAAAATAAAATCAGCTCAACACGACTAATGGAGAAACTACATGCTGCCGTCATCACAAGTCCTCCAGGATAACTGTTAGTGCTTCCATGAAAAACTGGGATCATCATTTTTTATCCTGAACTGACAACAGCTCAACAAAGTGTTTGCAGAAGCTTGTAGAATAGGGGTGTCCAATCCTGGTCCTGGGCTGATTCAAATGATCAGCTCATCATCAAGCTCTGCAGAAGCCTGATAACGATCCTGATCATTTGAATCAGGTGTGTTGGAAGAAGGAAACATCTAAAACATGCAGGACTGTGGCCCTC